AGATTTATTTAAAATCGTATATATATTATCATGTACCTTTTGTCTAATTGACAATGAATAATGTTTTAAAATTAAAATAAGTGATCACATCAATAGAGTTGTGTTTTTTTAAAAGGTCATACAATTTTCTTTCGAATCACTAGAGTTCAAGATTCGGTATTAATAAGTCTGTAGTTTTTTGATATTTATTTATTATTATTCAGCCATAAAAATGTAATATTATTGCCTATTTCAAATAATATGTATTATTTAAACGTGCATTGTACGAAAAACTGTGTATCCATTTATGTATACATAAATTTAATGATGAGAATTGAAATGAGAATTTCGATGGACGAAAACTGTTTATTTTATTACGAGATTGCTACGGGATTTATTTTCATGATACGTCATCGTTTTCACAACGGAATTGCAGCAGCAGCAGGTTTCAATGTATGTCAATTAAAGTTTCGGCGAAATCGTGAACACCATCATACTATTTATGTATTATATATACTTATATATATATATATATGAAATATGGCAAATAATGACAGAACGGTTTTCCTGAACAATTTAATTAGGAAAAGATGAACTTTTTCCCCATCATATTTCTCTTGTTCCAACCAAACATTAATTTGTAACATTGTGTAAGTGTTTCTACGTGATTACGTGGACTCCTTAAAACCAAATTCATTGCGATCGCCATTCTTTTTCTGTTCTCAAATTGGTGTTCCGTCTCTCCTCCACCAATGCGGRTCTCTCCTGTTTGACTGGACCACCGACAAGTCCAATATAAAAATTATAAGAGAACGCATACCTATATACAATTGCATRGCAAACATACGAGTCCCGTTTTGATTACAAAGAATACAAATCACTTGTTACTTGTTAGTGTTATTTGTGCTTCAAAGACAAAAAAATATTAACGTGTATTATAAGGTTTAAGCGCAAACAATATAATTATTAATTAAAATATTATTAATTATCATCACACGTGTCAGCATAATATTATTAAATTACCACCTCAAATAGGAGATCGATTACTGCAGACGTGGCAGCTCATCATCGTCGTGAAACTCTTGAAGTACTTATCTCTATCGTAAGTTACTTCACTCATTACTTGTAGGGTTAGGGCGTTGGGCTTAACATGATTTTAGTATATTTTATCTTTTTAGCCACGCGTAAATCGTTGACCAAATTATAAATCCGTTTTGTGGTGACCGTGACGTAGGACCAAATTTCATCTTACATAATAATATTAGTTGTATTTTTTTAACTACCAATAAATCAACGTTTATATTATTACGAAATTGTTTTATTTCAAAATTATTTTCTGTAACATTAATTGTACATTTTGAGGTAATTTTCCCTAAGATTTCAAATGAAACAATTTTTTAAAAACCTTACCTCCCATATTCGCACCATACAAGCATTACAGTCCATTACCCTCCATATGATAACGTCTGCGCCTTGGTTTGTATCCAACTCTTCACTACACTATGACCTAAAAATCGAGTCAGTTGACCAATTATCCACCAAAGATTACAGATCTTTCTATTTCAAACTACCTTCCATTACTAACTCGTTAGTATCGTAAATCTCATCTACTCAACCCATAAATCAGAGATTTGTTAATCTAAAATAAATTCACGTTGAGTTCCATCACTGGTTGGCCTCCCTCTTCATATTATTCAAAATTATAATAGTGTACATAAATATTATCCTATTTACTTATTGTGCTGTCAAACACAGATTTTAAATATCAAATATTAAAAAAAACCTTACCTAAGTAATAATAAACTTATAATATTGTATATTTTTATTAGAGATAAATAGTAATCAGCTACCTACACAAATTTAGGTAATATTGTTATTAACAATCCAAAATTAATTATATCATTAACGATTATTGGATATTAATTTTATAATTAAAAATACACTGAATAATACAATAAATTATTTTTTAACGAATTTTGAAATGTCATGTTTGACTGTTTAGGTATATTTTAAGGTCATAAATATCCTTACCTTACTCATGAGAACTTAACTACCTATTACTGAGTATGTGTCATAACCTCATAAAATGACTAAAATAAGTRTAATGAGTGTATTAGAAAGTGGTAAAAGATAAAATTCGCTTTTCGGTTACTGAGTTACTCATACTAACTCATATTGATATATATGGCAGTGATGGTAGTATTAAATAAATAAAAATAATAAAATTGTATACTGCTGTCAAGACGTCCATCATCACTGTGAGATCTTTTACCACCACTCACTGTTGTTATGGGCATTACCTTGTCTAGTAATGTGATCATAACTCATAATAATATTATATAGTTTGTCGATCATCAAATCGATCTTTAGTGTGATTTCTGTACAATATATATGGATAAGGTTAGGTTAGGCCATATTCATTGAATATTCATCACCGYCGAATTAAAAAAAAATTTTACCTAGCTCTCGTGGAACAGTGAAAAAAAAAATAGCACAACTACCAACTACGATTATTTAGGGAGAGGGGAATTAACTGAAGGTTATTCGCGTGTTTTTTGATTTTATGTATACACCACTCGGCACTCGCATATAAGTATAATGCATTAAAACGAAGCGAGGTAGTGATCACGTGCCAAGGGCGATACATTTTGGCGAGAGGRCAGCAAATTTTATTTTGATTTAATTTATTTCATTTTTTATATATTTTATTTATTTTTTTATTTTTTATTTTTTGCTATCCCGAACGAAAAGATCCCAATTGGTTTTTCATCTTTGACAGAGTGATGAAAGTTTGACTGCCTGCGTCCTCCGTATTATCTATGTATACATTGTATATCATATAATATATATACACGAAACTTAAGCTTTAGCCCCGAAAGGGATAATCCGCTTCTAGCCATATATATATTTTTTTATRTATAATACATAAAATATATTATTATACTACGACTGCATATCATTTAAAATAGCAYTATGGARAACTTCCTAGATATCTAATATGTTAATAGGTACCTAAAACACACGAAACTTTGTATGTGTGAGAAATTTAAATAAAATTGTATAGGATTACAATTTTATTATTGCTGTTTTCGTTGTAGAGATTCCACCTAACAAACGTACAACATGACATTATATTAAATTTTTGTTCAGCAGAACCATTTTGCGTCGTTAATATTTTAATATCAATAGAATCAATTGGCCTATTGCTTAAAGGTAACATACTAAGATTGTTAAGACATTTACTGCGTTTGTTAATTAATAGTTTCTTATAAATTTTAAATTTTTAAACAAATTTTGAGCATTTTTTTTTAAATAYTTAACATACTTAAGAATTTAAATGTTGTTATAGTCTTATCGACTAAATAATGTACAACACAACTATACACAAGTAATGTTCTCATATCGCCAGGTCACGTAGTACTGAAAACCCAGATTTTCGAGGGGTTCGGCGTTTATGTAAATAAATAATTACTTCAATATATATTAGAAAAATATTTCAGGCCTAAATTTWGTTCGGTACCAGGGCCAAAAATATGATGTTGGGAGGAGGGGGCTGCATATCGTTATATTTGATAATATTGTTCAATTCACTCTAATATTTAAAAAACGACACAAAAATGGTTCTTTTGAACGCAAATATTGTTATAAATAATATTGTACATAGTTATTTGGTGGTAAAAACATAAGAGTATAACATTATATTCAGTCACTACCATTGGGACGGAAATGGTGAGCGGTTGACCCCTCCCCCCCCCAGAAAAAAAATATAAAATAACAACAAACATTTTATCGAGTATATGGCAACGTGTCTGATTCTTTGATTCTATTATTATTTTATCCATTTATAGGTACAATATGTTTCACGTCTTCCTTGTGAATTAAATATAAATTTAATTAAGTTAATATTAAAGAATATATGTATACCTTTTTTTCAATTATATCTTCTGTTCAATATTGCCTTGGTAATCTGATTATTGTTTTCCCGGTTAAGCTTTAATACATTTTATATTACTTAAATTGCATTATTTGTAGCTCAGCTACGGCGATTACACTGACTCATTGTATCTACATAAAATTATTTAATACAATGTTTTAAAGTCAATTGAGTTTTCATGTCGTCTCGTTTTCAAATTTACTTTCCGATTGTAAATGTGCAGCCACTGTAATAATATGATTATTATAATACTTACTAGGATTATTCTTTAAATAAAATCCAAGTTTTCCTATCMAACGTACATTTTCCAACGCACCTTGGTTCATAAGAAACCAAGCACACCACACTGACTTCAAAACTCCCATACATWTAAGCCYACATATAAAATTTTATGATAAATATCTTTGGTCAACTAAACGATTTCAAAAAGCACGAAATACTCCAAACTTGGTGATAATTCTAACCTCCGGTGGCTCAAGCGTGGTCATCCTCCACAAAAAATGCCCTATCTCAACACCATTAATTAAATAAATACCTTTTTATTTTCTACTTTTTTGTACCATATTATGTAATATTTATCGATGTAAATCCTTGTAGTCTGTTGTAAATAATTTATAATAATTATGCATTATCATTTGTAAAGTGTTAAAAATGTTAATTTAATTGTATCAATAAGTTAAGATGACCTTTTCAAGCCATTTTATAATACAGAAAAAAAAAATTTTTAAAAAAGATTATTCTTATTAAAAAGAAATGGTATCACAGTTTTGATGGTTTTTTCCACAGACTCGCGATCCGGTGGCACTCGAAGTGGATGTAGAGCACAGATCGCGGAAATGATCGACGGCGGCCACCGCTGAGCGGCCATGAACGACGACGACGACGGTGGCCTCRGCGTCGGTGCAGACGGACGGCGTACGGTCCGGCACCACGGCAGGCACCACAAAATGGCACAGCCGAACAGATGGCCGTCCGCGGGCGGGTCGGTGGCCGCGGCGTCGGTGGCCGACGTCGTTCGCCCGGCCGCGTCCACCGCGGGCCGACATCACCGCCGGCACGACGCGTTGGTCACTGCGGCCGGCAGCAACGACACCGCGGCCAGGTCACCGCAGCCGCCGCCGCCACCGCATGTTCTGCCGCACGCCGCGCCGGACAGCATGTGCTACACGACCAACGAAGTGCTTGTTATCATAGCCGTCACGTGTTTCCTCAACTTTGCGTTCATATTGCTCATCATGACATGCGTGCACTGCTTCACGGACCCGTCGCATCACAAAAAGTAACGTTTAACATTATGGATATAGTAATTATTAATGACTAATAATTGCAGCTGTGGATTTAAAGCATTTAAAAAAATTCACTTCATATATTTCGAAAACTTTTGCAGTATATGCAATGATCTATTAGTTCCGAAAAATACACTGATAGGTACACAATTTCGTATATGCATAATAATGTTTTCACCTTTAAAGGACACAAAAATCTCTCAAGTGCGTGAAATATTTTAAACTAAGATAATACTAAATGGGGTAATACCCTATAGGGGGGGTTTAAGATATACTGTCTATGTTTATTCGAGGCTATACACGCGATGATTTTATGCATGCTTTTATCTCATCTGCCCGAGGAAACTATTTTTATACAAAAAAAAAATAATTTTTAATGCTKCAATATCATAATCTGTATCCGATGGCAATCATTTAAACTCAAAAAGAAAAAATTTAAATTTAAGCACACAATCCTCGCCCGATCACCTCTTCAAAATGCAAAATTTTGAAAATCATTTCTTAGTATACCCTTATATGCTGGTTGCCATGCAAATATCAAGTATCTAGCTATCATAGCTCTGTACATTGATCAGTCAGTCGATCAGGACACGTTAAATTATGTATGGTTAGATATCAAATATTAATTTAGTGACGGCTCTATTCTATGATGCACGGGAGTATGTAAACTACCGAGAAAAAAAGGTTACATTGATATGATGAATCATGTATGATTGAATACAATGCACGCATATTATAGTATGCAATTTAAAAATTATTTATTAAAATCAAGAAAAGTTTTTGCAGCTCTCTTCGAAGAAAAGCGACATTGMTAGAGACTCTAGCCTAGAGTTAACAATTGGATAATTTTGTTGGATAGCCGTACTTATATTATTATTGTTATTATTCACTAAAGCCGATATATCAATTTGTGCACCAAACCTATTTTTATCGTGCCACCCTGAACAACCTAGCCTATATTATTTTTTCAATTTATTTTTATTTTACGATTTTAAAGGTTCAAGTAAAAAAATTAAGGTATTAAATAATTTTTAGAATAGGTATGTAATATAAAAATATTGTTTTTTTATTAACCCTAAATATTATTATAAAAAAAAAATATGGACTACGAACTGACTCACATCTGGGGTCACTGGATCAGCTTAACTTTTAGATAGCCTGGGAAAAATTTTTTATACCAGTCTCTATCCCTTACTCCTGGCACTGGAAGCTTGTTAAAAACACCAAATCCTTCAGAAGATTAACGCGTAATCAACCAAATATATTATATATACCTAAACATATTAACACTACTAAATTTTATTTTCAAAACTCGACACATATTATGTATACAATGTATTATGAAACAAATATGTGCTATACTTTATTTACCATACATTGTGTATATTATTTGAATCATTGGGAAAAAAACACGAGTTTTATACTTTCGATTCATAATTATTAAAATAATGGTTTGTGATGGATACAATATACCAAAATATATTAAAAACGATTTGAAATTTTTATGTTTTTGTTAGAGAATCACACATACTAAAATCTACATAATATTATAATAAGATAAAACTAAAATAAAATGAATCTACAAAAAAATTATTTCGTATATTTTATAATTATTWTATTTTATTTTTAGTATTATTTTAATAATTTTTTATGCATAAATATGTGCATATTAAAWTTTTTTTTTGTTTTGCATTGTTAAATCCTTAGACCATAAACATCTGCAGGTATTTACATTTTAGATGTGCGACAAATAGTATACACAAATAAGTKCATTAACATTTCACTCTTCAACACTGTTTTCTAAAGTCTAAACTTTATGATATTATGTAAATAAATACAATAAACTACCTAACGTACCTACTACCTATCGCTGTTTGATATTCGATACTTATATGTCAATATAGTTTCTAAAATTCGTACGATTTCCCCATAGATTAAACTGGTCATTTTTCACACAAGCATATAAATGTATTGTTAGTTATATAGAACAATAAGAGATTTGTGAGCTGCACAGTAAAAAAAAATGGATGAAAAACAATCAGAAAAAAAAGGTACTCAAATTATCGATTAACGTAAATAAAATAAATTAACAAATATAATAAAAAGCGTAAAATTCAGTTAGATACAATCCTTGATGTACCTATATAGGTTCCTACAAGAAGGTTAACCTATATTATATATAGGCAGGTTATACTATAGCGCATTATACGAAAAAAAAAAATGAAATATGTTCTCCCCACTGGGAACTGATAGTATTGATACTTAGATATTTGCAAAAAAATAAATGGTTTCTGGACTTTTTGTGCATGATAGAGGATTATAATAGTGATAGGAGAACGATGGTCGCGACTAAGGGTAAATATAAACGCATTACCCCGAAGTCATAACGCCTCTCGCTTCACAGCTGTTTTTTAATTTTTTTTTTTTGTCATGTTACGTATAATAATTAATCAGATGTTTTTTTTAAACTGTATAACAATACATAAAGATGGATGAGATCGTTGTACATCTAGTCATTATTTTTATCAAACATACGCGTGTATTAATCTGTGGATTTCGGGTAACGACAAAAAGCCAAAAAATATAAACATGGAATTTCATATAAATAGGTTCTACGATATAGGTATAAGCTGCGTTTCGCACGCGTATACATATACAATCAGTGTTGTATTATGTAGGTACCATGATGTAATCGAAATAAACTAACCTAACTTAATCTATAATATATATATATATATATTATATAATACGTATTTTTAGCGGTATATTATTTATCCGTAGTAGAAAGAGATTTTTGAAAAAAAATTGTCCTTCGTAACTTAATGTGCGATGTACTTTTAAAACTGCACTCTCATTATAATATTGAAATCGTGTATACTAAAACGGTAAGCAGTTTTGATGATATGCAATATCGTTTTATATTTTTGGTAAAAGAATAACATAAATGATTTGAATATTTTTATACTGAGTTACAAATAATTTATACACGGGGGTGTCAAATCCCCGCCTAAAACACCCCTCCCTTGTATACACCAGTGAATTCAACATAATATGTACATGGTTGGTGGTCGAAATTGAGAACATTTACTATTATATTATCATTGTGCGTAATTCAAATCCCAATCAACTACACTATCCGCCTGATAATGAGTGTATCTTTCTACTTCTCCAATCACACTTTTCACACATTAATTTATAAATTGCATTCATCATCTATACAAACGATACCGATCCCACTAACCACTCCCAAATCATTATTGATATCGACTCAAATAATATCCCCGGAAATCCAAGCAKACGATTAGCTCACCAATGACATRGATACCGCATATAAATTCAAATTAATCATTGATTAAAACCGAGTAGAAAAGTGTCACTACTGAAGGATGGCTTTTCACAATTTAAATTTAGCAGTAATTCGTGATAATCGGATTATATAATACGCTCATATACAGTTATCGTAAAAAAAWACATTTACAAATTGTGTAGGTATTTAGTATTATTTTACAACTATAATATATTTTTTTAATTCTAAATAATAATATAATTTGAAACCTATAAAATGGTTTTATTGATTGCGTACGAAATTCATGGGCAGGTTTATAAAAATAAAAAAATTAAGGACTAAAAAAATATGGCACAAAATATCCACTTGAACCTAAGTTTGAGTTTAATTTAAAATATACTCTTTGTCTTAATAACAATTTATAAACCGTATAAATATTGTTGTATTTAAGAGCATAAGTATCACACATCTTTATATTAATTAAGCTAATTGCGAGACAAACGAGAAATGCATCTTTGAAAACGTACCTTATAAAGGTTTAGGATACTTCCATCCTAAACTTTATCCATCTAGTGTCAACATATATATATATATATTATCTATGACGTACTGATGATTAAACCTTGCAAATCGATATGCATTTTTGAATAGTGGATTAGTTATGATATGCTGTTGCAACCTATCTTTGATTAGTGATCATACATTTCTTAGGTATTATTATTATTATTATTATTATTATTATGAATACTCGTAGGAAATAACTACGTTTATTTTATTCCTATGTCATTAAGAAATTATGGTGAGAAAAAATATTTTGTTACTTCCAGATTTGACCATCGCTTGTTTGATAACGTTACAAGATCACCATTCATTTTTCTCGAAAAGTATTAACAGTTTTGTACATTTTTTTAAGTTTCTTTTAAGTAATTAATCAATATTATTTTTATCGTTACTGGTTTTTCCATAACATAAATATTTAATTTCATATTTCAAAGCAAAATAAATTTTATAATTATTTAAATATTTTTTATTTAAAAATTTAACTCCGAACTTAGTTAATTAGTTAGTTAATTCGTCACAAGTTTTGATGCGGTGCAGTGGTCAAACGTTTTGACGGGGTGCCCTTGTGCCAACGTTCTCCACGCTGAAGAGGGGCTACACGCTCATCTAAAACTTTAAAATTGTATTTTAACTAATTAACTATACGTGATTAATATTCGATTATTGCGTATTTAAATTTTCAGAAAAATATTCTGTTTTTGAATATCTAATCAAAAATGCGTAAGCTGTAGTCGTTCAAAAAGTTAATTAGTATAAACACAATCGGATAAKTTTTAAAGAGCCGATATTTTTAAGTAGATAGTGTGATTTGCGACTCAATTATTTGTTACTCATAAGCGATATTCAACACTTTATACATAACWAAAAAAATAGAGTTAGGGATTATATATAGGAATATAGGGACTCATAAATTTAAATTCACGTAAACTATAATATAATTGTACAATATGCTTCGGAGAGTGTAATAATTTTGAACGTAAGCTATAWTATTATATTGATTAATATCACACATCCATGAAGAATACAATCAGCCAGTATCGTCGCAGTATATTATTTTGAATGTGCGTGGAATGCGATTCCAATACAAACGAACAAAAACGTTTTCTGTGACAAGCGTGTGACGCGTAGATTTTTTAACGTCGAATA